CCAAATCACAGCAGAAAACAATTCTTCATCCCGTAGACAGGATCTGTTAACAACGGTCGTCACTCATAATAACGGCATGCCAGCAGACGAAGGAAAAGAGCATAATTGAATTAGTTCCTACGCCGTCCGAACGTAACGACGGCGTTAATAGTACCCACATTGTCTCAGCTTGGAGCTTGGACTCGGCGAGAACAAGAGCGTAGTGGTTCGTCGAGAAGGCGTAGGCCGCCCACGCCTACCGCGATTCGAATCTCCGTTATTTACATATACATTGGACGGCGGTCGCGTATCTTGCCGCGCGATCGTAAAAAGATAGCGGTAGCTTCTCCGCGAGATGGCCGCGTGGAGCGGCGCCGGTTGCGACACGTTGATGGATCTTTTTAATTTCGGCGAACCGATACGCCTACCGTAATAAATTTATCGATGTTGCTTGGGCCGCTCATGTGTAAACATGTACCTACCGATGACGCAACCGATGCGGAGATGTCAGTTTGGAAATGCGTCGGATCACGTATAAGTAATGCAACGCAAACAGAACTCGTTCTCGCCGGTAGAGGAGTAACATTAATATTCAATCGATTGTAAATACACGTTTGCGGCCCTTAATGTAAGAAAAACACGGGATTCATCAATAATGGATCTTCCCCTCTGAACACTACTCTATGACGAGAAAATTGTTAGTGTTGTACTTTCGATTCTAGCCATCGAATCTTGTTATAATACTATAATCGCGTAACTATTACTTGAGGGTGGTGCATAAACGTACCAAAAAAATCTTTTGTTCCCATGAGTATGTTAAAAATAAAGTCCCCGATATTTTCACCCCCTATAGCGTTAGCCCACCCCGAAATGTACACCCCGGAGCGACGCAATCAGGGTTATTTGTTCTTGAGTTACCCCGCTGGGCACAAGAAGTATCAGGAGACAAACCATTAGAAAGCGTGAACTTCTGAATTTGTTTCAAGTAGTAGTTAATGAGTAAAATTGCAATGTCACTGTTCAACACACGGCAGCGAAGAAAAAGGGCGGAAGAATGCAAATATATGGAGGCAACAATACGAAGCAGTCCTTTCAGTGCAACCTTCTCTTCCATTCTTTATCGCTCGGGGTCCGTCGATTTTTTCGGACGGCGTTATTGTTGAATATTTCTCGTTGTTGCGGCGGACAGACGTTGTCGTGCTCCTTTCAATACAGACGTTTAGGTAAATACAGGCTTTGATATTGAAATAATGACGGGTTTAATGCACTTTATGACCGCGTCGGCAGGGAGAGAGACGGTGAAAAAGAGACGAGCACGACGGACGGACCTGCTTCTCGCTCGCCGCCCATTATACCTTCTTCATCGCATCATCGCCCGCTCGCCTCCGTGTCCGTAGGGATTTCGACGGAATCCTACACGACGCATTGTTATTATTGTGGCGCGCTCATATCCTCTAATGAACTCTGAAATATTTATTTAATCGGACGCCTCCATCGCGAGCGAAAAAAGAGCAAACGTCCAGATTACACAATGGCGGCTCAAAATAAACCTTCGACTTGGGGCTCTGGGCTTTTTTGTCTTCGTTTCCTGTTGTAATCTCTTGCCGCCTGGCAGAGAGCGTCTTACGTCTCTTTTTTGGACTCCAACGGTAACTGTTTTTGTGTATGGCGGGTCGATCATGTTCGTGATCAAAGTATACGATCGTCGAAACAGTTTTTGTAAGAAAAGTCTGCATGTAAAATAAAAAGGTGGATTAAAGACTAAAAGTAGAATGTCAAAATCCAAGAAATTCATGTTGGTTTACCACGAAATTTGATCAATACAAACTTCTCGAGACGAAATCTTCAACTTGAAAGAGGGGTTTAGGACGGTCGTCGGACATTTCCACGATATGTCTGCAAACCTCTTCCCCCCAACTGACTTTTTAACTTATTTTTGAAGCGGGTCCATTGTTGAGAGCAACCCGGTCGGAAAATGCAGGAGTCAGCGGACCTCGCTAAAGTATTTTCTATCCGCTACAAAGTTCTTCTTAGCCGTCCCCGTCGTCTGATACACGGAGTTGTATCGATCGTAAGAGCGATGCGTGGACGCGTAATTCAATTTCACTGTCCACGTAGGAATTAAGACAAACGAGGCGGTCGTACAAAAAAAAACACGGCCCAGTTGGAACTTTTAAGCGTTCGTTTTAATTTTCCTGAAAAGCCCTTGTAACTCCACGACGGCTATTAATCTCGTGCAAGACTGCGCGGGATTTTTGCCTCGAGCCTTGCAGAAACATCTGCGCCTCACAAAAGACAACCCGCTACAAACCTTATATACAAATTACTCGGGCGAATGGGTCGCGGACGACTACAGCGTAAACTCCTCTTTCATTCGGCTCTTTTGGGAGACGAGGCGACGTACCTGTGTATTGTAAGTCAACACCTGGGTCATCAAAGGGGGTTGCAGCATTCGGAGCGGTGACAAATAGGATATTGAAAGACGTTAAAAGCGCTTAATCGCTTAACATCAACAATTCTTCTCATGAGTTATTACATGGTAAATGGAGTCCGGCCAGATGGAAGGAAATATTGTCGAAGAAACTTTGAGAATCCTTCGATTATAAAGCGCACGCTCGATACGAACTGGAACTGCTGACCTCTATCCACTCGAGCCAAGGAGACAATGGCCGTATTGTTCGCTAGTTATACTACGGAGAGTCGAGCGATCTGTAGACAGGATAAAATGGTCCGTCTATTGCCGCGTGTGTGTATGGTCCCCTCTCAAAGAAGTACTGGCCGCTATCAGATACAATTATTATTATTACTATTATAAACGAGCGTAGATGGTCAAGATTGCGGTCACCGAGACTCAAGTCTTTGTCGGTAATGATACCGGCGGATCCGTATCGATTTCAGGCGTGCTGACGTCCCCATACAGCAACAGGACCGGGTTCATTTTTATTCTTGTATTCTTTAGTTTCATTCTCACGCAACTAATACGGTAATCCAACTGCATGACAAACGTTTGCGTCAATGCGCACCAAGACCACGATCACGGTATCGCCGTCCGCATCTTTCCCTTCCCTTAGATGTCCTGCAGGATAATTTATAGTTCGCGTGCTCCCCGCGTAGCTGCGTGCCAGATAGCGCTTGATACAGTTGCAGTGGCTCTGCATTCGAAGGGGTGACGACTTTATCCTTATTAACTGCCTTGGGGTGACTCTGTATCTACCCCGAAATTCCTTATCACGCACCGACACTTCGTGCTACGCAACGAAAGATTAATCCTAAAAGATTAATTAAAAAGATCGATCACAAAATTGCCTGCTTTATATAATCCTCGACGAACAAAATGTTATTTATGAAATTAATTAAATCAATCCTCAATGCAATCGATGAATCAGTTTCTATAGCAATTACGAATCAAAGAAATGATTTTAATATTCAAGAAGGCATTCAGTGTTAAACACGAGATATAAGCTACTGTGCTCTAGTTGTCGGTTAAGACGACGGTGAAAAAAGTTGGTCGAATAAGTAGGTACCTACGGAGCCGTGTTGCGTAATTGAAATTGCATGCTCACGGTTTCCTTCCAACCGCTTACACCGGAGCTACATTGCATTCAGAGGGCACAGTCCGATTAACGTTGGCATTTCAAATAATCTATCTTTGTCCTGATATTGTATGCTGCGTAGAGGTTACGGTGTCCACCAGTTTCGCTAACATTTAAACCTAATCAACTATAAATCTTACATACGATGTCTAAGATACTTCTAATACATGAAATATGTTGATTTTCTTTGGGTGCGATACCGATCGGGACCCGTGGGCGAACTTTAATTGAAGCATTACGGTCGAGGGCACGAAGGCATATTCTTTGTCGTGAACGTGTCCATCTTGTCGCCCGGCAGGATTAGACTCGGCGATAGTCCTGCGCACTAAATCGAACGGCATCGGAACAACAAATTGCAGACCGCGTCCTCGTGCTGTGGCCATTACCTAATGCCGATATCTCACGAATTGCGGCGGCGGCACCGACATCGGCATCCCGCCATAGGGCATGACGATCGCCACCCACCCAACGGCGCCGCCATAAATCTACATTATGAGGCGAGCGTCTGCCTCCATGTCGTCTTAATTCCCCCGATTTTACCCGCGGAGGTCTCGTGCTGTGGGAATTTGCAGACGAAGAATTCTTCCTTTCAAACTAGTTAATAAATATCTCATTTTAATTTTTCAAATCAAAATATCTATAACATTCTCAGAGTATATATTTGTGATGGTGATTTAAGTAAAAACGAAAGGAAATATTTCTTCACCAATTTGTCTTGGTTGATGGAAAGGCGAAAGCCGGCCCCTAAATCCTCGGGAAGGTGAAGTTATGTTCGCGCCTATGCATAAGTTTGCAGGGGCCCTCGATCGCAGGTAGCCGAAGGTTCGTATTGTGCTCGAAAATTGAATCTTCCCATCGCGTGGAAGCGCGGGCTAAGGCAGGTCCATTGTGCCCCAAACGGACCGGTTCGTACACATCATTGTATGTAAAAATACTGCCACGTAGCCAACAGAAATGGAGACGGCCCCGCGCTCACTGGAATTGATTTTTTGTGGTCCCCTCATCCTCTGCCCCCCCGGACAGCGTTCGAAATTGGATTAGAGGGACGGATTAACTAGCGTCACTATACGGGACGTCGCTTTTGACCTCCGGCGTTCGGCGAATGGAGACGGATGAATTTGGGCTATTTTTAGAAGTTTTAACTAGCTATTTAACCGGGACACTAAACGCTTTTGCTGCTTTTTGTAACCAAGTGATGTTTGAAAATTCCCGCAGACGCAACATGTGTTAGAAATAAAACTTGTAAAGCGATCGTCATCTGTTGTCTGTTTATTTAATCGTTTACGTCCCCCGACGCATATAATTGCGCTCTCCTGTTTTATATCACGAATACAAATATGTCTGGCGCGACATAACTTTTACGACTCAGTTTACTGACTCCGGTTTTCTACCTCGGTTTTTTGACAAGCATTTTCTTTTCTATTTCAGTGCTGGGAGAACTGCGAGCTGTTGCAGTCCAACTTCCAGGTTTGGGGCGCCATGTGCCAGGAAAAAGAAATATGTGTAAGTATATTTTGTTTTTCTTTTACCTTAACCATAAGGTCGGGTCAACATCAGCTGGGTCATTACGGAAACCGCGCATTTTTCCAAACCACCGGGTATAAACAAGCAAACTAACGCACTTAACTTGCGGTACGTACCGGCATCGTAACGTCGGAGCGGGTAATTTGCTGCTAATGGAATCCTTGCCCTGCTATTTTGCTCACATCAGGTTTAATAAGAATCGAAACTTACACAAGAAGGCTTGTAACGGAACATTGATAATTTTATATTGATTATTTAACATTGGTGATTTACATTAATAATTTACATTGTTGAATATCGCATCTTACCTTTCCCATAGAATGAATAGAAATGACCAAGGAAATACTAATACGGTATTGACGATTACGTACAATATGCGAATCAATAAGCCACGACGAACGGTTTCACATTAAGGCCTTTGATGATAATCCTCTAGATGCAATTTAGATAACACCTCGAGTAGCATTCAATTTGTTAGGAGAGGACATCAATGGCTCTCCCCAATATTATTGTTGTTATTAAGCGGCGATTTACTGTAACGTGCCGATTTTGAGATAGAAGCTCTCAGTACCGGAAACCCGGACCAGTAAAGCGGGCATTAAACGTGTAATTTAGTGGCACCCGCGCTGGAAGTTAAGAGTTATGACTTTAATTTCGAATTATCTGACCCGGACGACTCCATCCTTTAGGCAAATGGGAAAACTACGTTCGCGTTCCAACGTTTTTCAATAGAAATATTGCACGTCATTGTGCAGATATTGCAGATCGATGGGACGCCATCGGCGAATTAAAAAAAATCGTGCCCCGCTCGAAATTTACGATATCCATTTAAATCACGACAAAAAAACCAACAGCACCGGGTTAGATTTATGTGCGGGACTGAATACGCGCCGTTCCTAACTACGCTGCTATGGGAAAGGTTGCAATGGCACAAGTGAATCCTAACCATTGTACATTAAAAGGTTTGCCGTGTTCCTAAGGCTGCGGCCATTATTTAGGGGTCCCCCGGTATTTTAATCGGGCGAAGTGATTTTCCTCGTTCTAATCGGAAAAGAAACTCCGGTTTACATACACTTAATTTAAATGGGCATCCGAAAAAAAAAACTCTGAACTAATAACACCCGTAATTTAAGATTTCACAGAGTTATGTTCGCCGTACGTCCATTAAGAAGTAATTGACAATCAAAGAAAATGTTGCGTTCGCAAGAAATTAAATTACAACTCAATTTACAGATATTAGGCGAGAAATTGCTGTTACTGTTACCTAAATTCCGCACTTTATTTCTTCTTTCTGGAAACCTATTTAAGTAGAACGGTTGCTGTTAAGCTCATTCCAGTAAATTAGAAATAATTACTACACATAATTCCTCGCTTTATCACCGAAGTCACTCACGGCCCACATGAAAATGGTAATCTTATGCAGATACCTAAGCTTTTTCTCAAGATAAGTAGCACATCTACCATCATCCATTTGCTGATTAGCATATGCCGCCTTATTCGGAGTTAGTGCTCTGCTACCAATTTGTTTTCTACTAATTACCGACAATTAAATATAAGTTGTTTTAATCAACCCAAACCATTATGTGGCATAATAATACGTAATTATATATTTCCTCCAACTCAAATTATGGTACCCAACACTTGGAAATTGAAATACCACAAAAATAGGAACCCAAATAACGAGAATTATGTTTAAAAAAATTCGTCTTTTATAACTTGAGTTGATTTGTGGAGAACCCCAAATATAGATGTTTATCATCATGATGAATAAGATGGAGATTTTGAGGTCTTTGTGGATAAATACAAGATTACATTTTTAAGAAATACCTCATTGTTTTTCGAAACCTTATAAAACTAATGGAAGTCATTTGACTCATAATGTAACAGTGATTACAACTCTACCTTTTGATTTCTCTTGTTTACTTGACTTAGTTGTTTTTTGTCGGTCTGACCTCATTTCAAAAACATTCTTTGAGTATATTTCTTCTCTCATATTGTGAGGTCAATACTAAGTAAGTGGTTATGTAAATATTCCAGTGTTGGTTTTTGGTCTGGTTATTGCCTTAAACTTCTGTTTCTGATTCTATGTTTTCTGGTTCTATCTTTTCTGCTTCTACTTATCATTCTTCTTAGACACTTCATTACTTAGATGCCCATGATTCAAACCTATGTAGCAGCGCAGGTATATATTACTTGGTAAAAGTGTATTTTTAGTTTGACGCTGATTTGTTTTTGGTTATTATTACTGAGTTGGGTTGAGTTGCGTTGGGTTGAGTTGCATTGGGTTGGATTGGGTTCCTTTCCTCAATTCTTCCATATTTGTTAATTAACTTTCCCAAGCATTCGATTTAGTTCATATACTTCAGTTTTCCTTTATGACATACATTATTTTGCTATTATTTGACCTCCATCTCCTTTTCTTATGAGTTTCCTTCCTAAGGTTTATCTTATTTTCGAGTTTCTTCACACATATATCAGGATTTCAATCATTACTTACATTATGTTTTCATATCCCGTTCTTATTCTTTTAGTTTCTGATTTTCATAATGTCTATGCATAATATGAAAAGCAGCTGCTTGACTCCCTTATCCATTGGGAATTTCGGATTTGTGTCCATTTTGACTAACTACTTCCACTATATTTTTACTCGTAATTATCCATATCAACATTGGGCTGATTTGTAATTCAATTAGTTTCCATATATCTAGTACCTGTTCGATTGCAGCTTTAAGATCTAAACAATTTTATAACAATATATTATTGATTGTAAAAATGCTGTCTTTGCCTTAGTTTGTCTTAATTTCTCTAATTTATTTGCACCTCATGGAATATGGGTACAATATTAAATAGGCTCTGTGGCGTCGAAGTGGTGTGATAATTTTTCCACAACATGATATATCTTTGTGCAAGCAAATATTTTGCAATAATATTCTTTTTGTTATTTTAATTGTTACATTAAACTAGTTGTATACATTTCCGTCAAGGTACGTTTTTTGCAGGCACCATAACGATGCCTAGTTACTGCAGTCATAAAGATAACTTAGCATGTACGCTTCATTAAACGTGACGTAATAACTAGACGATCTTTTGTTGACTAAAACCAGTTTTTGTCTATATGGATGTAGTTCTCTTTTTTTTTTTAATTTTTAGCAGTTGATTTGGCGTTGTCTGTGTTATTGATGGTGCTATTGGTGTATACGTAGTATACCGTGACTGGTAATTGATATTTATGGCAACCGGGTAGAGTGTGTAACATGTGCACTTAGCGACTCATAAATATCGCTCATAACGCATCGTGATTAGTATTATACGCGCAGTTTAAAACAGTGAACGCGATCAATTTCACAGCAATTTTTTAAACTAAAAATAGTCACGATAGCGCCAACGCAATCGAATCAGACAGCAAAGTTCCCACCGGAAGCGGGAAATTTGCGTGATAAAGCACAATAAGCCAGTTTGTTGCATAATAGAAAATATAGTGTGTACTGCGCTGCTCGGATGCGTTCGCGTAATCGAGCCGTTAAGTTATTCATATAGAGCCGGTGCCCCTCTAATTGACTTCAGGTGTACACATGTAATTAGACCGGTTTAGCTTTCTAGCATTATCGCCAGTTCATTTTTGCGTTCCGAGTTGCTCTCTCGCGAACTTAGTTTCTTTATTCTCTTTTGCCATCGGAGAGTGGTTCGCCTCGGTCGGTTCGCTCGAATGTAAATTAGACAGTTCAATAATAATTACCGATTGTCGGACAGCTTCTATGTCGGACGCGGCATGCTATGTTTACGATATCTCGAGGCTCATCAGAAAACGCCAAGCATAATTTGCGGAGCTTTAACCTCCCGTGACTCATACCATCGTCGAGTTTATTCCGAGTTCTAAAACGATTTTCTTTGTTGTTTCAGTTCCCTGGTTGCCAAGAAGCGTGCCGTTTCCACGCTGAAGCTTCAGCTAACATCCAACAGACTCAGCCGGTGATCCACACGAAAGGGGAAGGGGTCATCAGGGTATCAGGGGCTTTAGCACGATGGCCTCGGCCTACATTGGTAAACCCTTCTACTCCTTTAGTTTACGTGGTTATGCGAAAATCACAATCGGGTCCTTGGCGTCAAATAATTCAAACGTTGGATTTAACCACGAGGGTTCCTCTTAATTCGGATCAACCGGGTTCTATGCTCCGAGTCTTGGTTGTTGATCCTCAAGGATTAATCACTATTTATAGTCCGGACGAAGCTGTAGCGAGAGAAAATCGAAAGAGGAAGAAGACGATTAATACTGAAATTAAAGCAACGACTAGTCGTAGTACACAAATTGATTATGACGCTCCGTGGACTTTAAGAGAAGTGTCTTTAATCCATCAGAAAGTTTTGGTTATCGGCGAGATAGCTTGGGAACCGAAAACGACGAGGGGTATTTATTTGGTAACTTGGGAAGTCGATGGGGGAGGTCTTAAAGGAAATCTGTTCACCGACTCAACCTGTGTTACACTTTCTTTATGGCCTGATACGGTTTATCACATCCAAGTGGAATTAGTTTCGAGAACTCCAGGTGTTGAAAATTTGAAATCCGAAATGATGGATTTGGATACTGGGAGGGCACAAAAAGTCTCGACTGAAAGTCAGGATGATTTGAATATGATCCCCGAAGAAACAAGAGATGAATTAAACTCGCCTCGTTTATCGGTGTTAGTCAGCGCTGTAAAAGGAGAGAAAACAGAAAAGTGGCACAACATGGAATTAATTTTAGGATGTAGTGCTGCCGTGTTAACCTTTGCACTTGTCTTAGCGGTTAATTTCTGGAGATGTCGAAGAAGGGGGAACGGTATAGATAATATGATAACGGGAAGTAGTTCAATAAGGAGTCACAAATTGGTTGAAGATTTAACGTGTTATAGAAGTAAGTAAATTTTGTTGAGTTTTATTAAATTTGTGTAATGAATTTGTTCTTTATTTAGGTTTTCAACCGATCATGACGGTGGTAGGTTCGGTTAACGAGAGGCAATCGCTGACGCAATCCTGTGCCACGCCGGACGTAACTTTCTCGGACGCAAACGAAGAGAAACAGTCAAGAAACGTTCAGGTGTGACGCCATAGCTGCGATAACGTAATAGTATCCCATGCCAAACCGTGAAACAAACACAAGAGAAGATTTAGTTTCCTTTCTTTGTTCCCTCCCTGTATGTGTATTTAAAGAAAAAGTTCCTAAGTTATTGATTGAAGACAAAGAAAGGTAACCAGTGGTGACAGTGCAAACAAGTGAGTGATAAATTTCTAATTAGTGACTCGAGAGACTGTGAGACTACTAATCTAGTGCTTTTTTTTCTCCGCGTCGTTCTCGACAAACTCGACGAACTCTGTATTCAATGTGTATTATATGTGTAAAAAACTAGTCTAATCAAAAAAGAGAGATGATCACTTTTAAATAACCGACTATTTATTTTAAATGGAGAATTAAATATATCGCTGATGCCAACTACGTAGAGTGAAATACCTCCGATTTTACAAAACAAAAGATTTACGAAACAAAGTATTTTAAAATGCTTTCGAAACATCTCATTTTTATATAAATATTGTACATGTTTAGACACGAGTAACCCTGTCAATATGTAAACGAATCGAAAATCGTTAGGAGCGACTCTTAGCCAGAATATTGAATGTTTAATTAGATTAACCGCCCGTTCGAAATACTCTTTCAAACGAATTCTTCACATATTAATTTCTTTTCTTATTTCCCCAATCATAAATTATTTTATTTTTTATTTGTAAATACTTTTCTGTATTATAATTATCTATTATATATCAATATAAGTTATTTTTCTATTATGAAAAGCGATTGTGACACACTACATAGTCTATAGTCAAAGATCCCATGGCTAAAATGTAAATACGATTATTAAGTATAACTATTATCAGTGGATTTAACGAGTTTTATTTCTCCTTTGTTTATTTCATTTATTTCATCAACACGTGTTTAAAGACGTGTAACTCAACCCCACTCACTCGGGCCGCCCCTTGGACTTGTGAGAGAGATGACATTGTCGGAGACTCCACGTGTACATGCAGATGATGTATGGCAGCGTCGAATCAAAAACTGCAAACGGAAATGAAACGTATGCTCGCAGCTGCTGTCTGTTATTAGAACAGGCGGTGCTTGGGAAGGAACTGCTAATGGCGTAGGAAGTCCATTCTAATTAGTAACATGCGGTTCTCATATGACTTTCAAACCCTTATAGATCATATCTGAAATCTGAAATACGGTAAATGTTATTATTTTCAAGGAAACGTTTTTATTTCGGAGTATTTAACCCGCACAGGACGTTGATAGAATATAAAACGGGAAGTCATTAGTTTACGTTCACGGCGAATTATTACTCGATTACGTTCGCCAGTTCTTGAACAAATCGATTTGCGCTGTCAGTGGACATGTTGAGTACGTACGCAACCGAATTGTAGTCTATAAGCTTGTGACCTCAATACCATGGTTCACTTGCTCGATTTGAGTCGACCGCAATATATTAACGTGAGCCGATTTATTTATTTGTTTACGCAAGTACCAGTCAGAGTAATCAATGTATTTAGCGGAAAGTTTACAACGGTACAAATCAATCGGTGCAATTACTCAAGTCGAAGTGAGTAAACGGTAAAAGATTAATCACGACTATGAATAATAACTTTTTTAATTTACATGTAAAATAATATCGTACTGTTTAATAGATACGTTTCGATCAGTTATAACACAGTTTTTAAATATAACAATTTAAATTCAGTTAAATTCGATAAATTAAGCGGTTACACGTGAATCATAAATCGTTCCACATTTGATAAATTAGTGGGATTGAGAGTATTATTTTTACAACGTTTCGAAATTAGTGCACAATTTTAATGTAACAGAGATACCAGCACACAAAATGGAAATGGCTTGTTTCGTGAATTTCGTGATAAATGTAAATTTAATTTACGGTCGGAAACTACGAAATAGTTGCACTCACCGGCACCTTGGCGAGTCGAGGTAAGGTGTAATGAAAACGGTGTAGTAAGATTTAATGATACAAATGAAGTAAGAGCACTGCAGTGCACCTAATGGCCGTCTATTCTACAAACAGTCGTAAACAAGATGGTGTACACAACGGGACGGTACTTTGTGACAACGTTTAATTAGAGTAGACGCTGCAACGCGCGCGGCTAAAGTGAAATTTGAATACAAAAGCGGGGCGAGATTAGCTTAAAGTTCAAGGTGTTCTCTAAAACTTTACTACAAGAAATTCGTACTGTTAATTGGACAAAGAAAATTAAAAATTTCTTCGGTTAGGCACGCAGTATTGATCTTGATAAATTTCATCCCGTCCCCACGGAGAAAAGTTCAACGTACTGGGACCAAAAAAGGTCTCGAATAGACGAAATAAAACTTTCCCGGTCCGGTTTTTCCGGACTGAGTTATAAAACTTTGCCGATCCCGCACTAACCAAAGCAAAATGTGCCTCGGTACGACTTCGATGGACTGCGGATGAAACGAGAGCCCGTTACATGCGTAGATGTGGCCCGTGACTCGTAAGACAAAGGCCCCATGAAAGATTTATGATACTCAGGAAGCATCTGGAACGTTCAATCCACATAAAATTCACCTTTTTGGAAATACTTATATCGACACATCACAAAGAACTTTCTATAACCCTTAATATAATACTCAACAACAAAAATGTTCTTTCTTATAAAATACAGGGTGATTTATTAGCTCACCATCAAACTTTGATTATGATAGCTATACGTATGTCCTATTTCAATTATTTACGAAATTATAACATTTTAAAGTTTTAATTTTTATATCATAATTAACTGCTACATTTTTTTTTAAAACACAAATATTGTTCAAACGATCATGTTTCACAACGACGAATTAAAGAGTTCTTCAGCCTAATTAAAATGCCTGGATGATTTCTTATTTCAGTAGCAGCCTATTTGTGTTTTGTTTAATAACTGTTCTCGTGTGTTAATTTCCACTTGATACACAATTTGTTTCATATGACTTCATAAGTAGAAATCCAATGGATTAAGGTCGGGGGATCTAGGTGGCCAAATGGACCATTATTACCAATCCACTTGTTTGGAAAATATTGGTTTAACCACTCGACAACAACTCTTCCGCGATGAGGTGGGGCACCATCGTGCTGGTACCACATATTTTGAATAACATTAAGTGGTATATCTTCAAGTAAATCAAAAAGTGTATTGTTCAAAAAAATCTGTAATTTACAGCGGTCAAACGTCCATCAAGTACATGCAAATCTAGTAAATTATTGTTAAATATTCCACCCCAAACGTTGATGCTGAAACGTTGTTAAAATTTCCTTTTTCTAATCGCATGCGGATTTTGTAATGTTCGTTATGGTAATTATTTACACCATCTCGTGTAAAACATGATTAATCTGCCCAGAGAATATTTGAAATGAAGTCATTATTTTGGGCATGTTGCTGCAATAACCATTCACAAAATGCTAACCGTTGCTGATTATCTCCTGGCTGTAGAGCTTGAACATTCTGTTTACGATACGGATGAAGGATTTCGCGGTTCAATACGCGAGATACAAAATTTTGACTTACATGTATATTGTGTGCTATTCTTCGAATGCTGATGGAAGGATTATCAATAACAGCATTAATTACAGCTTCTTCGTCCTCTACATTAACTATATGCGGTCGAATAGCTTTTGCTGGAGCAAGATTACCTGTTTTTCGAAGTCTTCTGATAGAATCGCTAAAAACTGAATAATATGGCAAATGACGCTAATAATTAAACCTTACAGCAAACTGACATATTACAATGACAACTTTGTTTTTGTTGAATGTTTGATTTTACTGACTATTAATAAATTCGCTGCAGATAACTTTAAAGTATTATAATTTCGTAAATAATTGAAATAGGACATATGTTGATTAACATTTTTTTTTGGTCATTGGATTAGCTATCATATGTCAAAGTTTGATGGTGAGCTAATAAATCACCCTGTATATGAAGTGAAATAAAGCAATCTCATTCTTCCATGGTTTACATATTTCATTAATAATTCTTCCATGGTTTACAATTTAAATGATTTTACACGTTTCGATTTGCTCTATTACTTCGGTTGGTGTCCATCGAGTGCAACCCTGTTTCATTATCTCTCTGTTTTTCAGAAAGTATGAAGATTAACTTGATTCTAGGTGGTTTTTCACAAACGTTTCTGCTACCTTTTCTTCCTCCTCATTCATTATTATGCCAAAGACCGTTCTTCTGTTTAGATATTGTAAGACACATATTCTTCGTTTTCTGCAAATTTTAAGCTATGTCATCTCACATTGATAGTATTGGTCAAGTGATTTTTGCAAATACACTTACCATGTAAAATTGTGTACTAATTAGAATTAAATACAAGAAGATATGCAATTTAATAATTTTACGGTTTACATCTTAAAATACATCTAACAGTACGTTATCTATTTGACGGTACAGCTATTGGATAATTAAGTTATATTTCGTGCATGTCGTGCCTCTACCCCATTTCCTCAGTCCGGAATTATCAGAACGCCCTATAGATGGTGTCGTGGGCTCCGGCGGACGCCGTATCTCGTCAATCGGCACGAAAAAGACCGTTCTCGACCGTTCGGTTCTCAGGAATTGCTTATTCGGCACTAGAACAGCTGCCTTTCGAACGGGTCCGCGTTGACGTCTAGTGATCGCTTCATCTCCAAAAACGGACATCGTCTTCGTCCGCGGCCGTCGAAAGGGCCTTCGAGGTCAGTTCTTGCGGTCTCCGTTCGATTACAAATCTTTCTGCTTGTTTTCTTTAATTAGTTGCCGTTCGCAGTCGACCGAACGGTCTCAATCGGTGACAAGACAACGGGGTCGCCTTCTGTGACCGTTGGCGAAGCTCTCCGGACCTTCCGGAGCCGCCGCCGCCGCGTCCTCTATTCATCTTCAAGCAGTGATTGATGAGCCTCATTAGAAAACTCTTTGGAATTAATCACCGCGACTACTGAAATGGATTTCTTGTTTTCTTTCGGACCAGTCCGACGGATTTAAATTGTAAATGTTGATCGCCGGTAATTTTTCGGTGGTAATTATGAGGAATGAGCGCTGGAGAAGATTATGTTATTAAGTGAGTCGAAGAAATACATACACATCGTGTGTTGTGCGTTGTTTTTTTTCGGCACCCTCACACAACGAGGCCATTATTCAGTCGTGACGGACGTCGACCGCTAAGTACCTAATTTTTCAAGTTCCTGCGTCTGCCTCCCGGAAAACACCATTAAAACGCGAGTTTGTTAGCACACCGCGGCGGAGACCTAAGTTATGGGTCTCTAGAGATCGGGCGTCGGGGCTGGAGACGCCGGTGACGTCATGCCAGCCACGGGGATTACGATTCATCTCAGGGGATTATCTGGGCACGCCAGATGTGAAATATCCCGTGGTCTTCTCTAGCTTGAGGGTTTAGTACACTCGTAGCAACAATCCGCCACCAAAGATCTGATTAGAACCAAAGCCTTACTCAACATTTACTTATATATCTATATACTTTGTTATGATCTCGGTGGATTTTGCTGTGCTGTCAGATCGTTGGTCCAAAATGTCTGTAATGGGCGGAAAGACTTTTTAAAAGCATAGGGAGGTGTAGCCGAAAGTAGGGAAGCTTTATAAAGTAGTGGGCGGTGCCAAAGGTGGAAGACAGGAAGGCAATAAGTGGAAGCACTCGCCGAAGATGGAGGCGAAAGACATGGGAGTACTTTTCGAGAGGCCAAGACCACCGCGATGCAAAAAGTACCGTTACGAATTCATAAATACAAAAAAAAGAAACTCGGCTTAATTTACAAACACCCCTCCACGTATATTTTTTTTACTGGAACGAAATCCTTTCGCGTACGCGATGTAAGTTGGCGGCACTT